TGACGGCGATACGTAACGAGCCAAAGCGGACAATATCTGCTAGCGATGGGCTTGGGCTATTACACATGTTGAACTTTAAATTTATGCAGTGAGATGTCTTCACACTTACCAAGCTAACTCTACGTCTGCAAAATAGATGAAATGTTGAGTTTTTTCTGGTTCAATTAGTTAGTTTGAAGTTAAAAGGTGGATGTGTCGCAAAATATTGTAAACATTGAGAAAACGATCATATACAAGAAAACCTGCTTTTATTGAATTTACAGACATCAAGATCTTTGCTTAAACTGAAAGTATTTCCAAATGAGCTTAGTAAGCGCACACGTGAGGGTCTCGATTTGATTGATTCGATTATGTTAGAGGTCGTTATTTCTTTGTGCAGGGGTGAACTCTAATGCTGTGAGTACTGATGGCAACGATCATGGCAGTACAAATAGTAGCAAGATCACTTTGCCCTCTATGCCACCAACTCCACGAACTGAAGGAGAAATCTTGCACTCCAATTTGAAGAGCTTCAGCTTCGCCGAGCTTAAAGCAGCCACCAGGAACTTTCGTCCGGATAGCGTGGTAGGAGAAGGCGGGTTTGGTTTAGTTTTCAAGGGTTGGATTGATGAGCATTCTTTTGCTGCAGCTAAGCCTGGCACCGGAATGGTTATTGCTGTCAAAAGGCTTAACCAAGACGGTTTTCAAGGTCACAGAGAGTGGTTGGTGAGTTAGCCAGCCTCTCCCCATATCACACACAGAGATGGCTCATTCTTGTTCTTAAATGTGTACTATCTGTTGGTCAGCTTATGCTCTTCTTTTCTTTCTTCGTGTAGGCCGAAGTAAATTTTCTAGGCCAACTTTCTCACTGTCACCTTGTGAGGTTGGTCGGCTATTGCTTGGAGGACGAACACCGTTTGCTTGTTTACGAATTCATGCCTCGAGGGAGCTTGGAAAATCATTTGTTTCGAAGTTCGTTTTTCTTATCAGCTACCCTTCGATTCGACTTAACCAAAACGACTTCATTTCATTAATGTTCGATATTACATTTGCATAATGTTCCAGGAGGATCCTATTTTCAACCACTTTCTTGGAGCCTGCGTTTGAAGGTTGCTCTTGGTGCTGCAAAAGGGCTGGCCTTTCTCCACAGTGATGAAAGAAAAGTGATCTTCCGTGACTTCAAGACTTCAAATATCCTACTCGACTCTGTAAGTAACAGGCAAAGATGTGCAAAAGGGCTCGCCAAGTAGTTCATTCTTTCCTGTTTTGAAGCTTCGTTTTCTTCTGTATTCAGAAATACAATGCTAAGCTCTCTGATTTCGGGTTGGCCAAAGACGGGCCAACGGGCGATAAAAGCCACGTCTCGACCAGGGTGATGGGGACCTATGGATATGCAGCCCCGGAGTATCTGGCTACAGGTATTAATATTCTACAGAATCAGAAACTCCTGCTGTCACATTGTCGGCTTGATAATCAAATTTATCGCTCACTGTCTCTATAGGTCATCTAACTACTTGGAGTGATGTGTATAGCTTTGGAGTCGTCCTACTAGAAATATTATCGGGAAGGAGAGCAATCGACAAGAATCGACCAGCTAGAGAACATAATCTCGTGGAATGGGCAAAACCTTACCTTGCAAACAAACGTAAGATTTTTCGAATCATGGACAGTCGTCTCGAGGGTCAATACTCATTGGATGGAGCCTACAAGGCATGTACCCTTGCATTAAGATGCTTATCCATTCAACCCAATCTGAGACCAAACATGGATGATGTTGTAAAAGAATTAGAGCAACTACAAGATTCTACATACCCTACTAGCAACAGGAACTCAACCAATAACCGTCGTGCTCGGAGGCATAGCGCCGATGATGCCCATAATCCAAATAGCGCTCAAGCTTATCCCCGGCCTTCCATTTCAGCTCTCCATACATAAGAGGATCAGGCGACTACATTCAGATAGTTTGCAACAAAACTGAGGAACTTAGCGGATACATTCCAATGTATAGAAACTGTACTGTTTTCATAGTCATCCATCTGAGGCGATTCTTGGGTCGGTTCAAGTCGAGGTTTCTTTTGAATTCTTTGTTTATTTTAGTGTGATTTCTTGTGAACGTACTGCCAAGTCTAAATCAATAATTGAAGTTCCATCCCATCATTCATTTACGTTCATATATGTGGCACAAAAGGCGTTGATAGCTTTCGAACGAAAAGGCTACGAAGTCTAAAATCTCGATGATCTAAGGCATAACTTTAAAGTTTGGTGACTAAATTTGTAATGGAAACGCGTACTAAAAATTTGATGATCTAACTTCGTAAAGGCTTTACATGTATACCGAAAAAGGAGGAAGCCCTCCATATGTTATGCTTTCATTTCCAAAGAAGAAAAGTAAAAGAATGAACTTGGTTTGTCACCAAGTTCTTACCAACCCAGGTGTCCAATTTCTCCAATCTAACTTCCCAAAAGATCTGTTTCTTAAGCTCACCATATCTCTGAAATCAAAAACCTTCTTTAGATGACTCTGCCTATGCCTTGTAGTAGCAGCCTCAACTTCAGCAACCTCTGCCGTTTCCTCCTTCGTTTCGACAGTTTCGTCGTTGACGGGTTGAGGAACTGCTTCATGCTCTTGACATGATTCACTGATGATGTTACCAAGAATCTCAACGACCTCGCTCATTTTCGGGCGATTCTTAGGCTGCTTCATCAGGCATTTGTTAGCAAGTGATGCAAGTTTCTGTGCTGACTTGATGTTGCATTCTCCTTCAAGCCGTGGATCGATAATAAGGTGGAATTTCTTAGGGTCTGAGACGTATGGTTTAATCCATTCCAAAAGCTTCTGCTCGTTGCGTGGTAGGTTTCTCTCCACAGCACATCGACCTGTAATGAGTTCATAGAGAACAACCCCGAAGCTCCACACGTCGCTCTTTGCAGTCAGCCTGCCAGTTTGAACATACTCTGGAGCTGCATAGCCTATTGTGCCTACAACCTTCAAAGACAAGTAAGTCATCGTCAGATATTGTCTTCTTTGGATTTTTCCTCTTGGACTTCCCCTCGTAGTAGTTTTCTAAAACGCGTCTATTAGGGAGAGGTTTCCACACCCTTATAAAGGGTGTTTCGTTTTCCTCCCCAACTGATGCGGGATCTCACACATGTTTTGTTATCGAGAATTTCGACTTTCTAAATGCTTAAAAACATTTTTTAAGAACTTAGAAACTCAATCCAAATAGGTTCCAAATGTACCGATGTGAACACGTGACTGATTCCTTCCGGAGGACCCTGTCTGGCCAGTCCAAAATCCGAAAGCTTAGCATTAAATTCATCGTCTAGAAGGATATTCGAAGCTTTTAAATCGCGAAAAATTAGCTGCATTGTATGAAAACAGATCCAAATCACTCATGGTTCCCACAATCAGATTGTTTCTGGGAAGAATATGATATCATTTGTACCTGAAAATCCATTTCTTCATGTAGATATGCAAGGCCACGAGCTGCATCCTGAGCAATCTTAAGCCTAGCCAACCATGACAATGGTGGAGATACTCGAACCAGAAGATGATCCTCCAAGCTCCTGTTGCGCATAAGCTCATAAACCAGAAGCCTTTGGATTCCCCTTTCATCATCTTCAGCACAGTATCCAACCAATCTCACAAGATTCGGATGCTTCACAACACCCAAAAAGTTCACCTCATTGATCCATTCCTTGTGCCCCTGAATACTACAATTTGTACGAAGAATCAATCAGATTTGAATCATTCCCGATCATTCACAATTTAGGGTTTCAGAGGATTTGATCAAATAAGAACAAAACTACCAGAGTGATCAATACATTTCGAAGTTCGCATTCAACATCATGTGAGACAGTAGTAATAGAACAACAGATTCAAACACAGCCATTACAAAAACCAATGATTCCGATCTATCAAGAACATTAATGAACACGAGGAGAAGAAGAAGAAGAAATAGAAAGCCATGCCTGGAAGCCATTGCGATTGAGCTGTTTGACAGCAACCTCCATTTTCAAATCCGACTTGGAATTGGAAGCCGCAACAACTCCTTTAAACACGCAGCCAAAACCTCCCTCGCCAATCAACAGCGCCCTGCTAAACCCGCGCGTGGCCGATTTCAACTCAGAAAACGAAAAAACCCGCAACTCGTTCGCTCTCCGTTGAGTCAGAATCTCATAAAACCCAATCGAGTCTGAAAAATCCCTAGAATAGTCAGCGTCGAACTCAGAACGCCTGGTATCAAACGTGCTTGACGCCATACTGAGCGACCGAGCCCAGGAGACCTTGGAGGCTCTAGAAACAACGCCATTTTCATCATCCTTTCGCTCACCATTCGTGAAATGGAAGCATTTCATTTCTTCAAAACAAGTTGTGAAACGTTGCAGAATCAGAATGTTGGAAGAAGACGATTGAGTCAAATGAGAGGGGCGAAGAAGAAGAAGAAGAAGAAATGAAAAACCAAGTGGGTTTGGTTGAGCGTTTACAATTTGAAAATAGAAGAGCGTTAGGTAACAGCGCAAAGAAAGAACCATTCGGGCCATTGTCGTTTATAGCGAGAGATGGTCAGAGGTTCACGAGGCCTTGCTGCACACCCAGACGCTGCACGCCAAAAATGGTTCAGGTCAGGTAGCTCACTTCCCTGGAGAGCGTCCCAGCCGTTCGTTGAGGGTATTTCTTTGAAATTACAACTTTCTTTAGGGCTAAAACTGTAATTTAGCCTCCCTCTCTGGACTGCCGTCGACCTACGGAAAGCAAAGTAACCGTCAACCAGGGGCCTCCAAGGCTGCCGGTCTCGCTCTCGCATGGAATTTTTTTTTTTTTTTTTTGACCTTTTATTAAATTACAGGTCCTTCAACTTTTATTTAATTTTACTTAGGTCCTCCAACTTTTTCTAAATTACGAGTTTGGTCCTTCATTTTTAAAAGCTATATAAATTTTAAAAGTTGCTAAATTTTTAATTTTGTATTTACTCAACTTCAAAAAAATATTTAATAATTTTTAAAACTTTCGATTTTATATTATTAAAATTTTAAAATTTGGTATAGAAAATTTAATAATCTATTAATTAAAATAATATATATATAATTTGTTAATTTTTTTAAAAATGTAACATTATCATTGAAGACTTAAATTTATTTCGAATTTACGCATCAGATCATGTATGTCAAACGCAATATAAATATCATTTTCTCTTTAGTTTTGCAAGTCATCTCTTTTTTAAAATTTCGTTGTGGACGTGCGAATCACATGAGCTCGATCGAATCATCTCATATAGGTCTGGACCAATGCAATATTTAAATTGATTTTTTTTCGCTTAAATACAAATTATGAAATTATTTTGGATTGGAAGAACATTAATTACCACATTCATAATGAAAGAACATGGAGAGCTCAAACACCTTTCCCTCCCTTACAAGCAACTTCTATTACTTCACCAAAAAAAATCATTATAAATAAACCCAATTATTGTGTCTCATTCCACTACTTTATTAATTTATGGGCCCTATGTTTATTGGGCCACAAGACTCGGCCCAATAAGGAATACTCGTTTGGACTCAACTTTTTACGTGGGCCAGTTCTACTTCTCCAAGTAAGCCCAAACCAATATTAATAATTAAAAAATATATAATAAATAAATAAATTATTTTGTGACGTAATTAAGAATAATAATGATGTAATTTGAGTAAATTAATTAAAAATTTTGAAATATAAAAAAAATAAAAATATATGAAAAAAGTAAATTGGGAAGAGTGGGAAAGTAATTAAATTTGGAGCGTGACAGACGCTGACGCATTTAATCACCCATTCGATATGTCTAGTCGAAGAATTTTAGGATTTTATTTTTAATTTTTTTGGGTTAAAAAAAAAATTACCCGTCTCTCTTCTTCGTACTTTCTTACACCTTTTCTGTCACTTTTTATCTCTCTCTTGACTCAACCGCTCTACAAAGCATTAATTACCGCCACTTTTCTCTCTCTCTCTTTTTAGGCTAAATTAATAACTTAAATAATATATTTTAAAATATACTTCTTAAATTAAAAAGAGCTTCCCTAATATTTTTTAATTTATTTAAAAATACTTCTACAGGTAGTGTCGTCTTTTAAAAAATATTCATGCAATTTTAAAATTAATATTTATATAAAAATATTTACCATCAAGATAAACTTGTTGGATGAAAATTCTAGGTCAGCCAATTTAGGGAATAATCATGGGTTTATAATCAAATAATACTGTCTGAGTCATGCCCTAAACTTGGTCGTGCCAATTGGTAAATTCTCAAATGTCGAACAAAAAACTCCAAAAGAAAAAGGAGTCAACCCTCTTCAAAGACATAGTAAAAAATGACTAAGACTCCAAAGGCGTCGAGTCTCAATTAAGGGGAGGTGTATTTTGTTCGAGGAGAGATGTTGGATAATGAAAGTCTCACGTCGGCTAATTTAGGGAATGATCATGGGTTTATAATAAAAAAATACTATTTACGAGGCCTTTTGAAGAAACCCAAAGCAAAGTCATAAGAGCTTATGCTCAAAGTGGACAATATCATACTATTGTAGAGAGCCGTGTTCGTCTAACATAGTATCAGAGCCATGAAAGCTTAGGCTTAGGGGGACAATATCATACTACAAAGACTTTTATTTTTAAAATTAATTTAAACAATTATTGAGGGCCATAATTTTGGGAAGGGAAAGAGGTTATTTATAGTATTCCTTCTTCCATCAGTTGAATTACGTAGAAGAACAGTGTAAGACAGAGGGCATGGGCCTTATAGGGTACCCTACACAACTGCCTGACATTCCCCTATAAATATCCAAACATTACCGCCTACCCTTAAGCCCTACCCTCTAATCTTTTATACCTTATACCCTACTACACTTCATTTTATTCAATTTCTACTAATTATTCTTATTATAAATTAAAAAAAAATTAATTTACTTATTATAAATGCATAATTCAAATAAAAATAGAAATAACCGTGTCTACGTGTCTAAGTCTCCACATGGTGTGATCGTGCTTATGTCCTTATTGTCGGCCTTTTTTAAGTGGTTTATTTATTTCAAGACTTCGCTTATTATAATCATATAAGAGGTTACCATGTGATTTTCATTCTATTTTTGTCCATCCAAAATTTTATAACACTCAATTGTATGCTTCCAATCTCTTATAATTTAATTTTTTTTAATGAAAAATAATATTATGACTTGTAATAAAATTACCAGACACGTGATAGTTAAGAGTTGATTATTTAAATAAATAAATAAATATATATATATATATTTATGGAGAATATTATAATTAAATTTGGTATTAGCATGGTGCCTTATCCAAATTAGTTTGATTAACCAAATCAATAATTGGTTACAAAAATTTGAACTTTAGTAAGAGACAAAGAATATTAGAATTTGGGACATAAATATGCTTTCTTATTCCATAAAGAACAGTTGATGTGATTGGTTCACGAGCAGGATCCCATTGAACACATGTGATTCTGCCACGTGTCAACTATTGATTGGACAATCTTAATGGTCTTGATAATATTGGTGTAATAAAATATTAATATTTATTATACCATGCTCAGGCGAGCAATCAAACAAGCTTCAATGATACCAACTTAAAGTGTATAACGCTTTAGATTCATTTTCAGACACCATTTTAGAACCAGTAGTATTTCATGTACCATACACACAGATCAATGGTTGTAGTTCTTCAATCGATTACGAGACAGTGTCAGTAATAACCAAAATTGAGCTTTGCAAAGGTCTCAACAGACGTGTGAGTATACAATTAACTCTCTAATCTCAATCGAGCAAAATTGTTCTACTTCAAAATCAATTTACTGTACAGAACCATGTTGAATGCGGGGACGTCTACACTTAACTTACCTGGTCTATAGAATAAACATTTAAACTCTCGAACCGAGACTCTAAAGATACGGGACGCAGCTTAAATAAATATTTGTTGTATGGGCCGAGTTTATCCCCATGCATCAACTTTCATAAACACACAAACCGCATGACATATCTGACCTAAGACATAGCATTGTTAATTGACTTTTTTACCCAAAGAACGGTAAGGAAATTAAAGTAGATAAACCAAGGGTTCAAGTACCAAAGCCCAATTAATAAACCTAAAATTGTAATTTAATCTAAATATTCGTTGTATTATTATTATTATTATTATTTTAATTTATTTTCATATTACTTCTAGAAATATGTATGGAAATTAGTATGTTTTAGGGTTAGGCAGCAGAGTTGGGGCAGTTCTTCCAGTAAAAAGGCTACAAAACACAGGCTAGTAAAAGCTTTTAACTCGGCTCCTACTCATACCACCGAATAACTGTTAGACTCACAATTTGATTGACAGTTTTCACGATCGATTATAAGTATAATATAATGGTTATTAAGAAACAGTCACATTATAGAAGGGTGCGATGATTTGGGGTCACGAACTTCGAAGAAATGGCGATTTTTAACGACAATGTCGTACATGTGCATGGGCTTGAATTTGGCGAAGCTTTTGGGGAGGGAGATCAAGTGGGCGGAGTCATGGGAGCGGTGGAATTGGAGGAGCTCCGGTTCGGCTGAATTCCGGTAGCGGCTCCACCCGAGTTCGCCCAGTCGCTGCTCGAGTTCGGCGTAGGAGTGGATGACTTGGTTGGTTGGGAGATAGACCAGGACTCTAGGCCGAGCCCCTGGCGCCGTCGCGGTCCCTGGATAGGGCGGGTCCTTGCACTCGAACGACTCTCTGGTTGGGTTCGATATTAAACGGGCCACGCCATTTTTGTCGAACACCCAAACACCGGACATCGTTTGGAAGAGATGGTGAGCCGAAGCTAAGAGCTGTTACATTTATAGAAAGTGGAATGGGGCCCACGTGGAAGGGAAAGACCGTACGAATGACGAGAGGATTAACTTCTAGTCCAATTAAAAAATGTAAATAAAATAAAAAAAAAACAATTAAATATTTTTAATCACTTTTAAATGGAGTAAATAAAAATAATATGGGAAATAATTTATTTATTGCATAGAATAAATGGGAAAGGAACAATCGGTAAGTACTTAGCATACTATATCTAGTTGGCGATCCGGGCCCACTTTCTGTACTTGGCTTTGAAATTAAAGTCCCTATTTTTATGAAAATAAATAAATCGGGTTTTATTATTTCCACGTCATTAATCCCACGTCACGACAAAGTATTTCCTTATTTGAATGTTTTTTTTTTTTTGGCCTTTTTTATCAAATATTTCGAATTTTATGTTCTGTTTATTAATTGTGGCTGAGTCACATGGATGGGGCCCTGTTCAAATTACAATTTAAAAAAAGAATTATTTGTTTAAAACAAATAAATATTATATAATTTGGGTGATATGAAATTGCTGTTCAAATCAAGCCGTCTTAGCTCAGCTGGTAGAGCGCTTTTAACCATGTGGTCGTGGATTCGATTCCCATCAGTCATGGAATTTTGATCCATGACTTCCAGCCCACATCATAGTTGGGCTTGTCTAATTGGTATCTTACCATTTATATATAGACCAATTACACATAAAATAAAAAATTGGGTAACTTTTTAGAAATCTATTGAAGTTGAGGGACTTAAAAAGAAAATATGGCATAGTCTCTAATTTTGCCTAAGCTTTTTTAGCTTGATGGGCATGGAAAGTGGGTACTAGTGGGTATCCAATGTCCAGTTTGAAAGTGGTGCAAAAAGCTCCCCCAGCCCCACCCATGTGCACCTTGGGTTACTGAAATTGCAAAATGACCAAATTCTTCCTTTATTGGCCCATCTCATAATTTTCCACTTAAAAAAACACTAAAAATAATAATTAATTCAATATTAATTTTTTAAAAATAATACTTAAAATAAACATACACATACAAAAAGGCATATTGAATATTAAAGCTGTGAATGTTTGCTGAATCACCACACCTCAATGGGGGTGAGAGTTCTCTTATTTATAATTATTTTCAGAATACAGAAATATGGTAAATTACAAATATTATGGAAATAGTAATAAAAGGAAAGAATAATAAATGAATGCAATATATTTGCCTTTAATAAGAGGGCAAATATGGTAACCCGTAATGTAAGGCAAATATCTAGATATTTGCCTTATAGTGACGGTCAACTATCCTTAACACCCCCCCGCAAGCTGAGCGTCGGATTTGAACGAACGTAAAGCTTGGATCTGAAAAATTCAAAGAGAGGTCGAGAAATACTCTTTGTGAAGATGTCAGCAACTTGGAGATGAGAGGGTACATATTGTGTGCGAAGTTTGCCAGCGATAACAAGTTCTCGAAGGAAATGATAATCTAGTTCAACATGTTTGGCCCGCTTGTGAGAAACGGGATTAGAGCTCAAAAAAATAGCACTTTTGTTGTCACATAAGAGTAAGGGCTGCTTTGAAATAGGGACCTTGAGGTCATGCAAAAGATGCGTAACCCAAAGAAGTTCAGCAGCGGTTGTGGCAAGAGCACGATACTCAGATTCACAGCTGGAGCGTGAGACAGTAGGTTGCTTTTTGGCACTCCAAGAAACCAGATTGTTACCAAGATAAATAGAATAGCCGGATGTAGAACGACGAGTATCGGGACAACCAGCCCAGTCAGCATCCGAATAAGCGACTAGCGTACTAGGAACATTGGATGGACGAAAGGTAAGACCAAAGTGGAGTGTTCCTTTGACATAGCGAAGAATACGTTTGACAGCAAGAAAGTGATCTGCAGTAGGGGCATGCAAGAATTGACTGACAGAATTGACAGCATAGGCAATATCTGGACGCGTAATAGTCAAGTACTGAAGGGCGCCAACAAGAGATCTGTAGAGAGTAGGATCAGAGAAAGGAGAACCATCAGCAGTCAAGTGTTGAGAAACAACCATAGGAGTGTGAACTGGTTTGCTATCGAGCAACTGAGCACGAGTAAGAATATCTCGAGCATATTTTAACTGACTAATAAAGAGACCATCAGGAGTGGGTGAAGCTTCAAGACCAAGAAAGTAACTGAGAGAACCCAAATCTTTGGTAGCAAACTCAGAATGAAGCTTGCGAGTAAAGCTGTCAATAAGAGATGAGTTGTTGCCGGTAACAATAATGTCATCAACATAAAGAAGCAAATAGATAATGTTAGATTGCTGATGAAAGACAAAAAGGGACGTGTCAGCGCGACTGCAAGAAAACCCAAGTGTGAGAAGAAATGAGCTAAAACGCTGAAACCAAGCACGAGGAGCTTGCTTTAAACCATAGAGGGCTTTCTTTAATAGACAAACATGAGTGGGAAATCGAGGATCAATATACCCAGGAGGTTGTTCCATATGAACACGTTCAATAAGAGTTCCATTGAGAAAAGCATTCTTGACATCAAGTTGTCGAAGAGGCCATTTATTTGTGACTGCAATAGAAAGCACAACACGGACAGTGGTAGCTTTGACAACCGGACTGAAAGTGTCAGTGTAGTCAAGACCAGGAACCTGAGTATAACCTTTGGCAACAAGACGAGCCTTGAAACGCTCGACAGATCCATCAGGCAAATATTTAATACGAAACACCCATTTAGAGCCCACGATGTTGGTGTTAGCAGGGCGAGGAACCAAAGTCCAAGTATCATTTTGTTGTAATGCTTGAATTTCTTCATCCATGGCAGCCACCCAAGCAGGATTCTTAGCCGCAGATTTGAATCCTTTTGGCTCAGTGGATGCAAGAAGAGCAGAAAGAAGTCCAGATGAGCCCAAAATACCAAGATTTGCTGGATGACGAGTCTTGAATATACCAGCTTTGGCTCGTGTGATCATAGGATGAGTGCCCAAAGAAGAGAAATCAACAGGAGGTTCAATAGAGGTCGAATTAGAAGTCGAAGGTGGCAAAGTGGAACCTGCAAGAGAAGTATCAACCTGCACAGACTCATCTACAAGGTCAGAACAAATATCACACGGGGATGAACTGGATCGAGGAGTTTGCGGTGATGAAGTGGTAGGGGGGGATGAATCAATATGATGAAAATGTGGTTCTAAGAAATTTGAAATAGGAATAGAGGAAAGAGGTTGGGTCTGGGAGCTAGGGATAGCAGGAAAGTGGGTTTCATCAAATTGAGCATGACAGGTGATATATAGCTTAGTGGTGGCCGGATCAAGACAGCGAAACCCTTTATGAGCAGGACTATAACCCAAAAAAATACAAGGAATGCTGCGGGGAGAAAGCTTGTTAGGCATATAATCACGCAAATAAGGATAAACACGACAACCAAAGGGATGAAAATTGTCATAATGTGGAGTGTAGCCATAAAGGAGTTCAAAGGGTGACTTACCTCCAAGAAGTGGAGTAGGCAACCGGTTGATAATATAAGCTGCAGTGCTGAAGGCGTCAACCCAAAAACGAGAAGAAAGATGAGAGTGAAAGAGAAGGGCCAAGCCAGTCTCAGTCACATGACGATGTTTTCTCTCAGCACGACCATTTTGAGCAGGTGTATATGGACAAGAGAGTTGATGGTGGATGCCAGAATTACGTAAATGAGTTTTGAAACAAGTATTAGTAAATTCGGTACCACCATCACTTTGAAATACCTTGATACGAGAAGAATATTGATTTTCCACAAATTTTTGAAATTGAAGAAAAATATCAAAAAAATCAGATTTAAATTTTAAAGGGTAAAACCAAGTGAATCGAGAATAATCATCAATAAAAATAACATAATAAAGGAAACCCGAATTTGATTTGACGGGAGAAGGACCCCAAAGATCACAATGAATAAGATCTAACACATGAGACGACCTACGTTCATTGCGGGAATAAGGCAATCGATGACTTTTTGCAAGCTGACAGGTATTACATAATGATGGAGAAGGCAATAAAGACGTAAGAGAAAGATGACCTTTTCTATTTAAAAAAGAAATAACAGAATGATTCACATGACCTAGACGAGCATGCCATAAATCATATGAAGCACGTAAAGATTTGTTTCTAAGGGCTGAAATAAAAGCAGAGTTGCCGCGCTCCAGCACATATAGCCCTCCATCTCTTTTACCGGTTGCCACCACCCTTCCTGTTTGACGATTCTGGATAGTAATAAGATTATTAGTAAATGTAACGGAGAGAGGAAAATCAGACGTTAATTTACTTATGGAAAGAAGATTTTTAGTGAGGTGAGGGACAACCAAGACATCTAACAAGTGAATATTTGGAACAGGTGAAAGAGTACCGGTGTGGGTAATGGGTAGGGAAGCACCGTTTCCTACAATCACAGAGTCCTTACCCGTGTAATTTTTAGACTGATCCAAAATAGATGGGTCGGCAGTCATATGGGCCGAAGCTCCAGTGTCCAGAAACCAATCAGCAGTATCGGGTCCAGCAATAGAACATGACGTGTTAAAGGCTTCAGCAAGGTGAGCATGAGAAGAATCAGGTCGAACATACCGTTGGTTGCAGCGGTCAGCATAATGGCCCTCTTTGCGGCATATTTGGCAGTGAGGTGGTCGACGACCTTGACTTGAGTGGGTTCGTCCTCGATTAGAAGAGTTATTTTTGTGAGAATAAGAACGACCTCGCTGGTTGGTAAAGGAAGCAGGGTGGCTTCCATGGGTGCGACCACGATTAGTGACTGTGAATGCTGTAGGAGTGGAGTTAGAGGACTCAAGGGAGAGCTGAAACAACTCAAAACTTTCAGCTTTAGAGACTAAATCTGCAAAACAGGGGATAGAGGTAAGAGCCATCTGAGCAGTAGAAAAAGCTGAAAATTCGGTGCCGAGTCCACGAAGGAACCAGTGCACTTTATCAATGTCCTCGACCGGTCTGCCAATGGCATGAAGTTGGTCACAAATTTTTTTGAAGGCACGGGCATACTCAGCAACAGGTTTGGTGCCACGTTTCATCAACTGCAAGTCATCCTTGAGTCTCAGTTCACGAGCTTTCGACTGATGGCTGAACGTAGTTTCCAACGCAAGCCAAACATCACGTGCAGTAGGGAGACCAACGACAACAGCCATGGCTTCCTCAGTGAGAGAGGAGAGCAGGAGACAGAGAAGTCGTTGATCGGCTGCTCTCCATGCCAAATATTTGGGGTTGAGTGTTGAAGAGGTTTCTGGTTCAAAGCGAGGTGGTGGAACCCTGGTTCCATCGACATAGCCCAGCATGTCTTGACTCTCAAGAAGAGGGAGAAGTTGGCTTTTCCAAAGAAGATAATTGGAGGAAGAAAGTTTGATGGTGATCATATGGATTAGAGTATTGAAAGGAAGAAGATGATAAGAAGATTCGGAAGCCATAGAGAAGAAAGGATCAGGGTTGTTAAACCGAAAGGGCTCTGATACCATGTGAATGTTTGCTGAATCACCACACCTCAATGGGGGTGAGAGTTCTCTTATTTATAATTATTTTCAGAATACAGAAATATGGTAAATTACAAATATTATGGAAATAGTAATAAAAGGAAAGAATAATAAATGAATGCAATATATTTGCCTTTAATAAGAGGGCAAATATGGTAACCCGTAATGTAAGGCAAATATCTAGATATTTGCCTTATAGTGACGGTCAACTATCCTTAACAAAAGCAATAATACAATTAATTTCAAATGTATATTAATTTATATTAGGAAAAAGAAAAAAAAACACGCACAAACTGTCTGTAATAGAAGACTGCGGGCTACAATCTTCATTCAGCCGCTTCAGCCTTTTTACCGAACCCCAGTCAAAATATTCTTCCCATAATACCCCCAATCCTTGCTCCTAATTACGCTTAGATCAGATTAGTCTTGTGACAAAACAAACACTCCCCAAAAGGTTATAAATGGAAACTTGAAGAAAAATAACCCATGTAGTAAAAAGCATTTTTTTTTTCACTGCGGTTAAACACGAAAGTTTTTCCCGGTGAAAGTTTGGCCGAACTGCCAATGGGCGGGAACGATGTTCCATGACGTTGAGGTTCGACGGTCGCTGCCGGTTACTCTAAACGACAGAGCTTGGCCCACTAATACGGCATTGGATTGCCAATTTTGCCCCCAGTTTCGTGTCATGCTCATCCACCCGGTTCTTGTTCCTTTAACGCTAACCCGTACGATATCCCCTGCACCTGCCACGTTGGTGATTAGAACCAGATTGAAGTAACGAAAGCCGTTGATTGTGAACCTGATTCCTCCGTGCTTCCGGCATGGCACTCTGCGTAAATTACCTCAACGTCAGAGGGCACAAAGGTAAAACTCAGCGATTTAAATACTCTACCGTATTCTCGAGACTTACCGGCGGTAAGACACGGGGACGATACCGGCGCGGTACTCGGCGATTTTGAGGAACATGGGCATGGCGAGGTCGAAGTGGGTACGAGGAGGGTTACACCAGCCGCCATTGTCGTTGGGCAGCGCATAATTCGGCGGGCAGAAATTAGTAGCGGTAATCAAAATCGACGGGCTGCCGGAATGGCACCACCGTGGGTCATTAGCACACTTAATTTCAAAGCAAGCGCCGCAGCTCTGACCCTTATTGAAAAGAGCCGTACTCAGCGCCGCCGTGTTCACTCCATACCCTTGGCTGTACAAGTTCCCATACCCACAAGCGCCGCCTGCAAAATTGGGGTTCAGCACACAAATGGAATACAACTTCAAATACGAGTAAATTAAAACATACCCATTGTGCCGGAAGCATCGGAGCCACCGTAGAAGGTGGCGTGAGCGCTCTGCCATGGGCCGCCGGAGTAAATTCCGGGGATTCTGGCTTCCACCAGTAAAAAAAAAGAGAGAAAAGAAGCAATACAGAGAGGAATATTAATGGCCATTTCTGAAAAAGCTGAAAGCAAGAGAGAAATGGGAGATGATGTGCGGAGGTTAGGGATGGTGGAGTACTTATGCACAAGGGAATGAGCTCTACAGTGAAATTAAAAAATGGGATAAATTAAAATTTTAATAAATATAATTTATTAAATTATAAATTTTCCAAATGATTTAATCTAAATAATAATAAATTATTGGATTTTTTTTGAATTAATGGGAAAATATTTGGAAATTTTTTAAAGTAAATATTCTTGGTCGGAAAAGGGAGAAGAAGCTCGTACAGAAAAGGGCGGACGAAGGGAAAATATTTTAATTTAATATAAATAAAGTAAAATGATTATAATAATAATAATTAATTATTATTATTATTATTATGTGTGTATGCATGCTATTTAGCTTTGCGTCGAACGGAAGTTGAGGCGTGATAAGCGGCTGTGATTGGATTTCAATTTTAGAAATTCAAAAAGAAAAAGGGGGAAAAAATGGTTTCATATTGGTGGGGCCCACAAGATTCGGATTTTGTAACTGTATTGGTTAATGCGGCAACCAACTAGAAGCCACTGAGAATCTGACGTGGATGAAAGTGGGCCCCAAGAGCACCGTAATCGACGCTGCCTTTAATTTTTTGTGGGCAGTGGGTTTGAAGTTTGACCGGTTGGGTTGGACTAGGCTAGGGCATTGGGCCGTCTCGAGCCACGCGCCACTGCTGTCGGATAAAAACCTAGCCTAATTAAAATATTTAAATATTTGAAAAATGTATATACGCAATTTTTTTTGGGTTAAAACTTAAAATCATCGATTTTCGTTAGTTAAAAAAATTCCTTAGTTTATTGAGTTTTACCGTAAGTCAACGCTTTTCCAAATTTTCACGACTTGGCGGGAAGCGCGTGAAATACACGACGAGGTAGCGCAGTTGAAGGATTCCCAAGACGGCACTCGGTTGCTATCACGTGGCGGTTGTTCGCACTGGCGGGAAACAAAAGATAAATCCAGTTGATTTTCCGTACCTGCTGATGTAAGCGAACGTGTCAGCAGCCACGTCAGCGCTTGAATTAGACTAGTTTTGCGACGTGGAAAATTTAAAGAATAAATTATAAATTGTTTTTAAAAATAATTATTATTTTTTTCTTTTCGCTTTGTAATATTCCATAAAATTTTAATTTTTATCATGCCCAATAATTCCATTTAATTCTATAAAAATTAAATTTTGTAATTAGATAAATATATAAATTCATATTTAATAACTTTTGAAATATCATCATTTTATGTAACAAAATGGGAACGGGTCAATGACGATCGCCACTGGTTAGAAGTTGCTATTCACACAACAACCATGTGATCTCTAATCATAACATCTCGATCTAAATTTTTAAAATGGTTTATAAAGTTAAAATCCTTTAATAATTTTCTTTTATACATTTTTAATCATATATTTTTTATACCTTTTATGAATAAAAAACCCATAAAATTAACCAAAATAAACAAATAGTTGTGGGACAATCATCATCACTAAAGACAAAAATACAGTTTAAATTTTTTAATAATAACTTAATTTTAAAAAAAATCCCAAAAATACATTTTAAATGAAAACTATTAATATACAGCCTGTAAGAAAAATTTTAAAAATACCATGACAAAAAAGTATCCTTGAGTTTTTAGTTTAGAAATAAAAAAATAAAAATTACTGTTAAAAAAACTCATGAAATCTAAAAAAATAATATTAGAAATTTAAAAATAATCGTGGATCAATGATTTTGGTCCACATATTAACAGTAAAAATTTATAAATTTTTTTAAAAATAATAAAAGATAAATGGTACTTGTAAAATTTTATGAGTATTCTTTAAATATGGTATTAACAGTAAGTATATATTTGAACTTTTTAAAAGAGTTTATGGGATTAATAAAAAAAAAATTAAAATTCAAATGTACTTTTGAAATATTATTTAAAATTTAATGTTATTTTTTAAATAATATTCGCAGACTATTTTTTAAATTTTTTAAAAAGTTTAAAGCCATTATTGAAACTAATATTTTTATTAATTTTTTTAAATAATAATAATAATAATAATAAAAAGTAATAAAAAATTAATAATTAACCATCCACTTTGAAATGGACAAGTTACGTAAATTAACCCGTCTATTTTTAGTAAATTCATAATTGACAATGTACGTAAATAATAATAAGTGGGGGGGCTTGATTGCAATTCAACTTCTCAATGGACGAATCGGGTTTGAATTTGGAAAACTAGTTCCGCCTATTTTTGTTGACTTTTTAAATAATTTTATTATTTTTTTATGAGTAATTTTAATTGATTTTAATATTTCATTAAATAGTTACGTAAATTATTAATGTTTCTCATCTGGACAACAGCCATGTACCCACATGGTGGTTGAAGACGATTACTCTTTGAGTTGAAAAGGGTGTGGCGTCAATTATGGCTTAATTTTCTTTTATCAAAATAAATAAAATAGGTCCAAAGATATAGAATATATGTCTAAATTTATTCAATCTCGTCGCCTAAAATTTGATCTTAACAAATGAATAACCGACTTCAAATTTATAAATAAATTGTCCTGGCTCAAGTCCACTATTTGTAGATATTGTATAGACTTTTAGTCTGTTACGTATCGTCATCAGTCTCATGGTTTTTAAAAAAACATATGCCAAGGAGAGGTTTCCACACCTTATAAAGAATGTTTCGTTCCCCTCTCCAATTGATGTGATATCTCACAATCCACCCCTTTGGGGGACCAACGTTGTCGCTGGCACACCGCCTAGTGTCTGACTCTGATATCATTTGCCAAAGTCCACCGCTGGTAGATATTGTACGCTTTAGCTCATTATGTATCGTCATTAGCCTCGTGATTTTTAAAACATGTTTGCTAGGGAGAAGTTTACACATTAAGAACGAAAAAAAATATATTAAAAGGACAAAATGAAGTTTTGAGGCTAGAAATTAGAGGGCGTTGTGTGACCACATGATGAATTTGGGCAAGGATGTATATGATATGATGGTGCCTAGTGGTCTACTAGAGAGTGGCTGGAATTGTTGTTGGGAGGTTGAAGAGAGACCAAGAGACATTCATAGAGCTTTTGTGCCAATTTAGGGCAAAGGAAAAGGCAGCTTTGTCAGCCTAGTGGGAACTAAAGGAAACGAAGCAAAGATGAGGGGAAGGACCATTTGTTCATAATGGACACATCTTTCCTTGTTTCCCATGCCTTTTGCTTCCCCTTTTATGTTTGATGCAATCAAAGCTTTTATTCAATGTCTAAACCATGAGTAGAAAGAATGTCTCAATTCGAGAGTCGTACAAATGTTGAATTGTACATTTACGGTCAAAGGGGTAATTACAGAAATCGAAGGTATAGAAGAGACTACGTCTCCATTATTACGAAGACTTCTAGAAGATACAAAAAGTAAAAGTACGAAAGAAAACTTATGTCTAAAGTAAAAAAAATCATACCAAGAATTCATGGTTTCAAACATTTGGTATTAGAGGCATGTTGGACTTAATCCTGCGGAGTTCAACAGTTAAACTCTATCAAATATATAGTGTGCTTCGAAGGAGGATTTGATCAAGATAAGAGTGAACGAATAGACAACTATTTGAAGAAGGTCTTTCGTTTGAGAGAAGGATGGTTGGAAGAGGGACTAAAGTTCTACGTTGACTGAAAAGTAAAAAGAAAAAAAAAACACGTGGATATAAGTAAGAGATAACATTTCTATTGACCTGACATCTTTCCTGAAAAATACTACGTGAACAAAAATTATCAAGAGGAAACTGTCCAAACCGCAGTCAATTTTGATTAAGATATCTTAAACCTTTCACTTGAATTCAACGAAGAAAACTATAGGCCTAAAGAAGATTTCAATAAAGAAAACTAATTACAGATGGAATACAAGAGGATTTTACCTACTGTAGACATAAAAAAAAGGAACCATCACCAATAACATTGGACATACAACAGAGTCCCAACAATGATTCTATTCTATAAGCACATTTCAACCAACAAAAGTTAGTTATAAAAACTTATTAAAGATTCGAATCTCCCACCTCCCTAGTCTCGACGAAGTATTCACGATGCTCTTCCTGGCAGTTAGCAGCCTTTCTTTCCCTCTTTTCCTAAAAGGCAGAGAAAAGCTATACTAAGAGAGGAAGTAAAGAAAATGAAGCTTCTTTCTTGTTCCCTATAGTTTAGTGATTTATAATGTTCCCTAGTAATTAATGGATGGCAATAAAGGGTGTTAATTCTAACAAGGATTACATCCATAGCCCATTTCTATATGGCCTCGGAACAACGTCAAAAGCGAAAAGGAAATCGAAAATCTATCACCATATATCAGATGCTAGAGTTTTCCTGCTCTGCTAAATCAATTCGTTCAACATCATGATGTGAAAAAAATTTGTGCCAGCAATTAGAAGCAATTGTAAATGAGCAGGGTATCAATATAACTAAGTTCATTGTTCGAATTTCACCAAGTGATTTCATGGATGCAAACTCATTCGTTGCCAATCAAAAGTGTGCCAAGCTGTATACGAGAATCCAAGCAAGCTGAAAAAACAAGAAGAGAAGGAAGTAAGCAAAATCATATAGACTGAACTTGTTGAATTTGAACTTGAAAGCAAAAGAATCCCTTCCTGAAGAAGAGTTCGGTTAAGGTGCATTGCATTATTGAGTAAAGTAAAGCATAAAGATGCCAAAGTACCAGAAAGAGAGTTATAGAAGCGAAAAGGCCCTCTTGGAGAAGAGCTCCATGACCTCCAAATTCTTCTTCATCAACTTTCAATATCATCGCATAGTATCCATGTACGATGCTGGTTGATATCGCCAGGAAACTGAAAATGGAAACAAGCATCTGTAAGATAGCTTGCATAGTATCCATATACAATGCTAGTTGATATCATGAGGCTAACAATAAGCTACATAAAGAACAACGCATATATGATTTCACAGTAATTGAGTATTCAGAAGGTTTGGAATACGCAACACTCACATTAGAAACCAAATGCCTCCAACCAAAGGTATGGATCCCCACAGAAGTCCAAGAACAACGGCCACTGCTTGTCGAATCCAGTGCAAAACATCTCCTAGTTGGTCCTATTGACAGATTTGATGAACAGAAACTAAGAACAGTATGGAAGCAATCTAGTTCTTTAAGAAAACTCAATACAGGCATCAAATTGAAGCCTCCAAATAGAAGGTGATAGTGGGACTCCACGTATAGAAGCACCAATTGGAAGATGTAAAGTCGCAATAACAGTTTTCCCTTACTTTCTAAATCAAGAATTAATGAACGTGACATTTCACCAATTAAAAACTTTACTTAAATTGCAACATTCAACACTACAATGGAACGCTTAAATCCTAATTCCTCTTAAATACAACAGAGAACATAAGCAGCAATAGTAAAGATGTACAGCAATTTCCACATGAATCCAAGACCTAAAATTCAAGTACCTTGTCCCAGGAGGCCTCTGGATCGAACAATTTTGCGAGCTTGAACGGAGCCAAGTGACCATTTTGGTGATCTTGATGCTGATGAAGATTGAGCTTCATCGGTTTCGATTCTTTCATACCGGATAATCTAATCAATCACTCGTCGGAAATTGAAATATAATAAAAGTAGAACAGAAAAAACCGAAGAATCTGCCGTAAGCTTAGACCTAGATTCCTGAATACGAGAAGCGAAAATGCTCGAGTCGGAACAGAAACACTGTATTCAGTAACTCCTAGGGTTTTCAGGGAAGAACATAGGCAGACACAATTGGATCAACGAAGAAGAAACTTCAATTTGCAGAATTCATTTGCGGCAAAATCACTGCAAACCATGAAAGTGTCGTCTCCCGTCTGGTTTTTTCAGCTTCGGCTTTGGAGCACGTGTGGAAGATGCACAACCAGGAGTTAAATGTCAGCGGCACGTAGCCAGTTGAATCTGGGCCGGCCCATTCATCAGGATGTACCAAAATAGCCCAAATATCAATGCAGGCTGGCCCATTCCTAAAAATACTGTTTACTGGGTGAGCCCAGCCCAAAATTTGTCCCAATTATTTTATTTATTTAATTTTTAAATGTAGTCTTCGGCTTTTCATGCCAATTTGCCGAACCAAATACATTGATCGAATGGCGCCTTCTTCCTCTAGTGCCGCCGAAGCATCGTGAAATTCTCCCCTCCTTCCTCCTGTAATGCCGCAGGATCGTGAATTCATTCTCTGTCTCCTTCACTGACTCTTCGACGGTAACTCTCGCGCTTAGTTTTGCTATCGAATGTTTGCATTGCGCGCCAGTTTCTGTTCATTTCGATGTAAGTTTTTTGCATTCTAAAGCTCGTATGGTTATGTTGACCAGAGCTGACGATTCGAGTTGTAAGAAATCCGCTTCGAGCCGTAGTCCTAGTCCTTTACGAATTTGGAAATCATTGAAACTTATCATTCAGACTAGCATTGTTGATTGAAAATCCGAGTCGCAGAGGATAATCCAAAAGCCTTGTTTAGTGCACCGATGAACAAATGTTCGACGCATTAAGGCTATTACAGACAGGATTTTAGTAAATAGACAGGATTGTATTAAGCACTGTCTTTTTTCTATGACGGAGATGTGATGATCTTTACTCCAAATGGACTTCCACAAGTATACAACGTTCTTCGGACATCGTTACGAGCGTTAATTGAGGTATTTTTACTTTTGTTTTGTTAGGATTCGAAGACTTAATTGAGGCATAATTATCAGTAGGCTGTGTCGTTGTTAATTGTGTGAGAATGCATTTAAGTATCTTGTCATCGAACTATCATCGGTTATGGTAGCCTTCTACACTCCTTTCAGCATTAACTTCAATTTGTTGTGGAGTATGTAATGTTCTTCATCGTACATAAAGATATTGGTGCCATTATTCGAAGATATCGTTCATGCGTCCCCATTCCCTTCTACTTTCAGATTGTTCGTTATGAAGGATTAGGAAAGGAGGGAAAGAAGATGCAGGAGAAGAAGATGGAAGTAAGAGGAATGGTATACCTCGTCTCCGTTAACTTCAGATGCAACATTTGACTTGTTTTCATTCTCGAATGTACAGATAATCATTTCAATTATCAGTTTCAATCTCTTATATAGCTTACTTTCTTGCAACAAATGTATCGTGTTAGTTGTTGGAAAACGATGCACAAATTCTCTTATATAGCTTACTTTCTACCTGTTCTTAGTTTTTAACCAAGGACGACGATTTAAAAAATCGTCCAGAGGTTTGTGAAATTCACAAGAACATCATCATTCGGCTATTTGTTATGAAATGGTTAATCATGGTGGATTATCATTTTTTGTAGAACAGTTGACTGTTATTTTTCGTCATTTTTTTGTTGGTTTCTCGTAAGGATTTAATCGTCTGAAAACGTGACAGCATACTCATTCTCGTGGACATTTTTTTATATTAATTTTACAGCACATGAAGAATCCTCCAAGAACTATCCATGAGCACAGATCATTTTAGTTCTCAGTTTCTTTTATTCATGAAAAGATTTCAATTATTTGCTTCCTCATTAAGATGCCACTTGTTATTCCATCGTATAGTTTGGCAGTGAATGCCCAGAGCTAAACCATTTTGTCTTAACTTTTTAACATAGGTGAGTTACAACCCGAATGAGCGAGAGTTGACCAGGCTGAGAATCATCATTTATTATTGATGTGACTCGAAAGTCGAAGACTGAATTATAAGGAAATTCACTCGATGATTATTACTCAGTAAGCAGGTAAGTCTTCTATTCTTTTGTTATATAATCTGTTGCATCCGCTACCATCTACATTTCTCGTTATGATTAATCATCATTACTCAGTTTTTGTTGGATGAAATTTGTTGTTTGCTGTGAATTCGGATGCAAGTTAACTTTAGTTTTGTCCGATTATTGATGGTAGACCGATTTGAAATATGGGATGAAGTTCTTAAAAACTCTTCAATAACATCATACTCATTACCATGCTCCACATCCACGGATGTTCATTTTACAGTAGGTGTTAGAAAATTATAGTATTTGTCTCATGTTGTATCTGAGTCTTTCATGATAGCAAGTCTTTTAGGAATCACGATCTTCACAATGATATGATATTGTTCACTTTGAGCATAAACTCTCATGGCTTTGCTTTGGGCTTCCCCAAAAGGCCTCATGCCAATGGAGATAGTATTCCTCATTTATAAACCCATGATCTTCCACGAAATTAACCAATGTGGGACTCACTTCCAATAATCCTCAACAATCTTCCCCTCGAACAAAGTACACTATAAGCCTCATTTGAGGCTTATGGAGCTCTCGAACAGTCTCCCCTTAATTGAGGCTCGACCCCTTTCTTTGGAGTCCTCAAATAAAATACACCCTTTGTTCGACACTTTAGTTACTTTTGACTACACCTTTGAGGCCCACAATTCTTTGTTCGACATTTGAGGATTTTATTGACATTGTTAAGTTTAGGGCATGACTCTGATACCATGTTAGGAATCACTACTCTCCACAATGATATGAGATTGTCCGATATTGTCCACTTTGAGCATAAGCTCTCATGTTTTTGCTTTTGGACTTCCTCGCTTATGCTCAAAGCAAAGCTATGAGAGCTTATGCTCTAAGTGGACAATATCATATTATTGTGAAGAGTCGTAATTTCTAACAAAGTCAAGTTTTACTATCCTTATTAGGATGGGAGCATAGGCATAGTTGTACATATACAAATACATAGTTCTCCCTTTATTTTGTAGCATCCGAAAAAATATCACATCAATCTTTCGGGAAAGAACTTGTTTTGCATCATGTGTAATTCTTTATGGAGCAATACTTGAGTGCTTCGTGGGCTGGACCCGTCTTAAAAACTAAAAGATATAAAAAGAAAAGAAAAGAAAATGAGTTTGGTTGGACAATTAGGTGAGCTGCACAAAAATGAGTGCAACCCACGATGTACCCTCATATTTTTCTTCATCGTGTGGTTTTAGATGTTGTTTGGGGCTTGTCTTTGCAAATTTGAAAATCAAGCTTCCTTGTTTTTTTAAAGTCAAGTAGGGAGATTTTAGAAACTCTCAAGTTTCTATAAGCTATTGAGGGTTTATGAACCCTAACATTTGACTAACTTATCATAAAGATAGTTTTAAATTTAAAAGGTTAACAAGATACCAAATTAAAATTTTAAATTTATTAGATACAAAATTAAAATTAGAAAAATCTGATTGGACGAAAGGCATTCAATTCTTTTTGGAAGTTACCCATATGAGCATCTTCCTCTCTCTTTTGCCCTTAGGTCTTCCCCTTTTCACCCCGTAAATCTCTCAACGTCTTTTTCAAAAAGCAAATCTGTACAATATATACATATATATATATATATATATTTACTAGGTAAAAAAAAAACAGTCGTTATCTTTGTTTTATTCTAGCCAAAACTAGGGTCGTCACTACTGCATTCAGAGGCTGCCTCTTCCTGTAAATTATTTGACCGAGTAAGAGTCTGTCAACAGAACTTCACCTATTCCTCGGTATTCCTTTATTTTTCTTGTTTTACATTTCCAATTTGACGTCAATTTTGGTCTTTTGAGCATTAATTTGTGCCGGAACTTTTGATTTTTATCGTACAAAGTCTCTGGTACATCACATTGATGTTGTTGAAACAAAAGAAAACGAATGATCGTGCCATAATGTATTCTTAAATTTGTAATTTGCCCATGAGTCTTATCAAATAGGTTGGCTATGTTGCATTTATTTTATCTTGCTAGCTTGTGTTAGACGAACACGACTCTCCTTAATCGAGGCTTCATACCAATAGAGGGAGTATTCTTTGTTGATCATTCCCTAAATTAGCCGATGTGGGACTTACATCATCCAACACCTCTCCTTAATCGAGGCTCGACTCCGTTGGAGTCGTAGTCATTTTTTACTGCCTTCGAGGAGGTCTGACTCCTTTTCTTTTGGAGTCCTTTATTCGACATTTGAGGATTTACTAATCTATTGGCACGACTAAGTTTTAGGGCATGACTCTTATACCATGTTAGACGAACACGACTCTCCACAATGGTATGAAATTGTCCACTTTGAGCATAAGCTCTCATGCCTTTGCTTTGGGTTTCCCCAAAATGCCTCATACCAATAACCAATGGAGGGAGTATTCTTTGTTTATAAACCTATTATCATTCTCTAAATTAGTCGATGTGGGACTTACATCATCCAACAGCTTATCGATTATCATCCATTTGTGGTTAGGTTAGCATCTTGAGCATAATTTATTTGCTTTCATTGTGTTAATTTTTTATTAATTAATTTAGAAGAATTAAATTAACATCAAAGATGAAAAGGGAAAGTTATGGACCAAACAAAAACAAATTTAAAACTCTCAAGAGGAAGAGGAAGAGTAACATCTTGAAAATTAAGAATTATAAACTAAACTCAAAATATATTGGTAAAAATGTGGCATGAATAAATAAAAACTATATTAAAAAATTTAAAAACCAAAAAACTATTTATTCTCAACAAAATAAATATGAAATTATAATTTTGAAAGACTATTTTAATGATATAGACGTTTTAGCTTTTGATTTCTTGGCTTTTGGGGGCAATTGTTTTAATTGAAAAAAAGGCATTCAGTTTGGCACTTTCCTGACTGGCGCGGCGCTTGTCGCTTCTGTGAAAAGCACTTTGCTCTAATCTCCATAATGAAAGGGGCGAAGCGATGGTAAGGTTGGGTAATGGGAATATAATAGCAACCGTTCCTAGTGAAAATTAGCCCTTCCTTTTTGTTAACCAAATATTTTAATTTTTGTCCTTAAATAAATGAGTGAATTTTGTAATTACTTAGGGTTATCTAACTTTCAAACCAAATAAATATAGAAGACAATAGAAAAGACATCCTCAAACATACCTTCTTAGCCTATGAGTTTTTCAGCAATAGGAGTGTTTTGGTCCTTAGGGTTTCAGTTCTCCTATTTTTAATAATGGGTTGAAAGGGTCATGAGTAATATTTTAATATTATTTTAAATATTGTCATTGATATTTTAAATTAAAAATAATAAAAATTGCCTTTTCTCTCTTTCCTCCTGTTCCACCCTCCTCCCCTTTTCTTCTTAGATTATTAGTTTTAATTATCATCATGAATAGTAATTTTCAATTTCAATTACCTGTATTATTCACTGACTAAATAGCATGTTATAAAGTACTTAATGTTCTGTGAGTAGTATAATGACATATATATATATATGTATGTATGTATGCACATATACATACTTTAGGAAATCTGATTTTTCCTTCTCTTTGTAAAGTATTTTCTACATCACTCTTTAGAAAGCTTTTGTTTTGGGATTGTGATCTGAAAACAAGTCTTTATCAGCTTTAAGGGAAACGAACATAAATAGCTACTAGGCACCTTTTTTTTTAATTATTATTTTTATTGATATGATGAATATGTTTTTGTGAAGCCCCAATAGATCAATCCTCGGCTAATAGTCATTACACCCACTTTTAGCTTTTAAAAAACTAAAAAAGTAAGTCAAAATAATCCAGCTTAAAAATGCATGAGATGACAAAATATTGTACCTGTTCAACATAATCCTAGAAAAGTATTCATAAAAAGCAAAAAATTCAGGATAATTTCCAACCCAAGGAAGACAGACTCCTCGTTCTCATTCAACTAGGAAAATGACCATAGTTTTCTTTTTAAGAAACTTCAGATAACTTTTCATGTCTAGTAAATTTTCAACTGTCCAATAGATTCTTATTTTATTTGATTTTTTTTTTTATAATTCACATGATACAATTTTCGGGTTGACATAAAATTTAAAGCTACATATAATGGATCAACTAATATATAAAAATCTTAAATACATCTAGACCTAATCTATATAAAATTAAAAGTTTAAAAATTCAAGAACTTGTTAAATATAAATGTAATTTTAAAAATTCAAGAACATGTTAAAAACAAATGTAATTTTAAAAATTCAAGAACTTGTTAAAAACAAATGGAAAGTTTAAAAATATTAGAGATCATATGGAAAAGTGGAATAAATAAATATGAAAGTTCATAAATAGGGATGTTTATGAGATGAGGACAGCGATGGTTTTCCACCTTTATTTTATTCTTTACCCCCTAAAACTATATAAAAAATATAAGTCATTAACCAAAAAAAATATTAAAGTTAAATATTACAAAAAAAAGAATAAACAATCTAATATAGTTCAGTCAAGAGAAAAATTCCTCTTTTCCACCTAAACGTGGACTTTCTGTCCTATCAGGAGCAGATCCCCCACTGATGGGATGGGGTGGAAAAAACGGACATCCTTATTTTTAAAAAAATATATTAATATGGAGATAAATTTCGTATGATAAGAGCATTTAAAAAATAGAACAAGAAAAATTCTTGAGGAGCACGCATAGGAACAACTCAACAATTACGAAAGGTCAAAATCAAAAGCAGCCGACAAAATTTGGAATGGTCTTCCAACTCTCGCACACTTCTGACTTTTAAATTTAGAAAATGACCCTTTTTCCTGTATCACAAGTAGGTGGATTCAATGTATTTCAGTTCAGGCTCAATTTTTGTTGATCTCCCACTTCTTTTTGCCTTTTTGTCTTGTCAATTCAATTATTTAGGTATCTTCCGGTTTCATTAATTTGTCTTTTACGCTTACCATGGCTGGATATGATTATTAAATCAATACATACGAGTTCTAACTCCACACGTCTCTTCCATATCTTCCATATCCAATCCAATCCAATCCATATTATAATTTTCTATAGTAAACTATTTTTAAGGTCATTCCAAATAAAAATGGGGATTTGTAAAATTTAAAAGGTTGGTTTAAGAAGATGAAGTTTTAAATTGATTTATGCAGAATTCAGTTCAAGGAAAGGTGTTGAAGGGTCACTCATAAATACATGTACTATATATGAATAGACATGTAGGTTTATTCGTTCATATTTATTAGGTGCATGGTTTTTGGATCATGGGGAATGTCCCAAATTACCTATATATATACTTTAAGTTGGCATGGGTAGAAAATGTAGAAAATCAATTTAGCTCTTTCTAGTAATACAAAGTTCTCTCCTTCCAATAGTTCTACCAAATTTCTCTCCTTCCAATAGTTCTACCAAATTTCTCTCCTGTCACCACATGTATCAAGATAAAATCTTCAAAATGCACGTTGTACATGGGCAAGAATTGGGTCGAGTTTATAAAGTAGCATTTTGACAAATTTCATTATACTAATGCAAGTCAGTCAGGTTGAAAGAAAACTATGGGGAGTTGTTAAAATATGAAGCAGGAGAAATGGACCTGTTTCTTTATTTTAGTCATTTTCTACCATTCGTAACCTCTTTAGTCAACTTACTAATTAATTGTAATCTGTAAAAAAAAAAAAAAAAAAAAAAAAAAAAAAAAAAAAAAAAAAAAAAA